CTGAAGAACATTCTTATTCTCCCCCTCCCTGGGGAATGTTCCTCCCTGCTACAGCAGATACGATCCTTTTTAGTCCGTGACCCACTGAAAAAGTACAAGTTTTAACCGCTGTTCCCACAGGAACCATGCAAGAATGTTGGGTTGTTTTTTTTCTTCTTTCCCCCAAGTTGTGAGTTGAAGAGATAAATATGTAAGTGCTTTTTAAAATAAGAGCTATATGAGGATTTGCTAATTCTTTTCACATGGGCCACCAAGGAGCCAAGATGTGGTAAATCACATTCAGCTGTGTGCACTCCCCCTCCCCAGCCTGTGGCCTGGAGTTGGACTGGTGCCCTGGAGATGAAGCGCTGATGCACATGCCTTGAGCCTCAGACGCCAGCAGACGTTAGGTCCTCCTGCTTTCCCTGTCTTCCCCACCTCCCCGTAGAACTCCCAGTTCACGACAGGGGAAGCGAACGAGAGCCATTTGTTCCAATGCTGAATAACGTGCACTTAACCCATGAATAAAGAAGAGCTTTCACAAGAGGCGAGATTCCTTTTGGATAGTCAGCCAGCTGCAGTTGTAGCACTGAGGGATGTTCTCTGTGTAGTGCCTCTAAGCACAAGCCTAGATGTGTTGTCACAGATTGCTCTTGTGTCGTCTTGGGGACCTGAGTGAAGCGGTGCCGGTGTGCTGCTCAGCCTCCTGCACCAGGGCCAGCTTTCCTCTTAAATGTAGCAAGTGTAGCGAAGAGAACCATTTAGAAATAGTGCTGAATGTTTAATGTTAACAATGCTGAATAAAGAGCAGGAGAGAAATGCTAAGAATAATCCATGGAAGCAAGGAAGTATTTATTTTTGAGCTAAAACTTGCCCTTGGGGATGTAGCCAGATGATGTGCATTATACAGCAGCCCCACTTTGAACTAAACATTTCAGCAATTAAGGTTGAAAAGAGCAAAGCAAGAGTGAGGGGTTTTAACGAGGGAAGTGTGTTGTGTTGTGCAAACGACCCAACCCTTTATGTTCTCGTAGTCTCCAGTTGACCAGTGCAGGCCGTACGCAGCGCGCTCCCTGCTGACAGCTGCCTGGAGCCTGCGTTTGCGTGTGACATGCAGGGATCTCGGCATGTGCATCCCCGACTGTGGGCTTAGAAAATCCCAGCTCCCTGCGAGCGATGTCCAGGCCCTGGTCACTGCTGCTGACGGTACGGAGACAGAGCAGTTCGGTACCCTGCGTCCCGTTCCTGGTCCCCGTTGCACCATATGGATTCTCTCAAAGCGTAATGTGTTCCGCTGCTTTTAGACACTGTGCAGAAACCAAAGCCAGGAATGTTTTTCTGTCCAAATATGGTCGGGATGACAGTTCTCGACTGCAGTCCAAACCAAATATCCGCGCTTGAGGACCTGAGACCTCTAAAATTCATCAGAGCTCCGAAGTCACAGGAGCAGTTCTCTCCACTTGCATGAAAGCCGTCATTCTGGGGGCTCGGGCCGCCTGAGAAAGCATGGACAATATTTTCAGCTACTGGAAAAGATGGAGATAAAACTTCAGAGTTCTGACTGACTTCTTGCCCTTGGCACAGGGCAACACTGGCTCCCAGCAGGGAGTCTGGGGAGTTATTTGAAGCATCTGAAAGAGGCTTAAATTCTGCTAAGTGCTGTAGATTTGAGGCTGCTGATGCCTGCGTTGAGAGTCCTTTAAGTACAAGTATCTCTTGGGAAAGCCGTGATATTCTTAACCTAGGGCAGGGAGCAAGGATGAAATGTCAACAAATGTGCATTCTGGTCCTGATAATCCTTAAAATATCTCAAGAAGAGAGCTGTGCTTGGAATTTAACAACCACAGTATTAATGAACAAAGTATAAACCTGAAATTTTGATTTTTAGCAGCAGCGGCACTGAGGGTTCTGGCCAGAGCTCGTGCACCAAAGGATGCAGAGGCACAGGGACTGCATCAGCAGCATTGTTACTGTACACAGCGTTAAATTCGTGTGTCTCCCTTAGCTCCACAAGTTGCATCTGTAAGCTCTGAATACCTCAGCGTAGCAGCTTTCCTCATCTGACTCTCATTGCTGCAATAACTGAGGTTTGTCTTGGCATTAATGCTGAGCTGGTTTCTGAGCAAACATTTGGCTTAGGTTTTGAAAGCTTTGAAAGCATTCTGCAGCCAGCGGTTTGGTGAAGCTGGATGCACAGGCGCTGAGTTTCCGTGTGGACGGGCGCAGTGCGTTCCCAGCGCGTGGGGGGCAAGCGAACAACGTGCTTTCCAAGAAACCCTGCGCTCTCATTTCCCATCCGTCTAGATAGAAGCTGCTTGCTACCTTGACGGGGAAGCAGGATCCTCAACCTCACAGAGGTCGTGAATCATCTCTGCAGCTAAAGGTTCCCGTTCAGCCACCGCACGTGGCGCAAGATCAGTGGCTGATACACAGCGTGGTCTCTTCCCCCATTCAGAATGCCTCAGTAACTGATGGAAAAAGCCTTGGCTGTACTAACCTGTAGCAGCTGTAGAAGAAGGATTTGGAAACAACGAGGTCCTCGAGAATGTGCTTTTGCTAAAGGTCTAGATAATAACTTCTGGGGGGCGTGTGTCTGAGCTGAGATGTATCGTACAAAACCTTTTCCTTTCTTTACATTGGGACAAGGGAAATTCTTAGTTCTATGTGGTTGTGCGAGTTCTCAGTCTGTGCTTTAAAACCCAGGCTCGTGTAGTCATCCTCAGAAACAGGAAGGAACCAGCCGGGTGCTTGGAAGATCTCAGGTGCTTGCTCTGCAAGATTCGGTGCTTGACCTCAGGCAAGTCTTTTCTCCTGCACAGTACGCTGGGTCTTAACCTGTGAGGTGCAGATAATAGCAGTCCCCTGCCTTCAAGACTGACGTGAGATTAAATGCCCTGAGAGACTGTGAGATGCTGAGATACTCGGGCAAGAGGACAGGACCTATGTAACAGTGCATAAGTTAAAATCTATCTGCTGACTCTCACGAGCCGTGTGAAAGGCGGATGCACTTAATGCGCCTGAGACTCAGTGTCCTTCCAGCACTGTGTTTGCTAGCAGTATTTTTCTTCTGAGCCAGTACTGCTTTACAGGATAAGAGCTCTTGGCTGCAGTCTTTGAGCCCCATTCCAAGGCAGGTTTTTACTTCAAGACTCCCTTCTCAGTCTTTCTGCAGATGTGTTCACGTCTACAGACCGACAGAAACTTGTTCAGGGGACTCGAGACATTGACGAAGGTGCTGTTGCCAGTTTCTGGCTTCATACCATGGTCTACAGCTCACACCAGAAATGGAGGTGCGTTCACACCACTCCGTGGAGCTCCGAACCAAGCCCTTTGTCGGAGCACTCGCGCACAGGCGTGTTCAGCCTGAACTGGCTTGTTCAGCCTGAAGAAGAGAAGGCTGAGAGGGGACCTTATAAATGCCTACAATTATCTGAAGGGTGGGTGTCAGGAGGATGGGGCCAAGCTCTTTTCAGTGGTGCCCAGTGACAGGACAAGGGGCAATGGGCACAAACTGAGGCACAGGAAGTTCCGTCTGAACATGAGGAAGAACTTCTTCCCTCTGAGGGTGACGGAGCCCTGGCCCAGGCTGCCCAGGGAGGTTGTGGAGTCTCCTTCTCTGGAGATATTCAAGACCCGCCTGGACAAGGTCCTGTGCAGCCGAGACGAGCCAGTGTCTCTGGCTGCTGCAGCTGACTGCAGTGGGCCACAGGAGTCTGAGCCTTGTACCCTTGCTTTCTGCTCTTTCTCTTCCTCCTGGTTCCAGCTTTTCTTTGTAATTCTATCCATACCTTCTTTCCATGTTGCTCCTAATTCTGTCCCTGCTGGTACCTGAACAGCTGCTGCGCTTTGCCCACTCTCTGCAGAAAGCATGTATTTTTCTCCAGGGGGGAGCTTGGTGAAAATGGAAAAAGAAACTTTTCATGTAATTGTATACAGCCTCATTGGTCCTATTTATTCTGAGTTTTTTAAAAGCTTCAGGCTAGCTTTAGTCTGAAAATACATGAAACTTAGGAAGTGTCACAAGCTTGGTTATGAGCTAGGGAAAAAAAAAAATCCAATGAAACCATTTTTGATTATGAAATGTGCAAGAAGTTTCTGAAACCTTTCAAATGCTTCAGATATTCCCTAGGAATGTTTTATACTGGCTGGCAACAGACCTACCCCCTCCCTGCCATTTTCTTGTGCAGCGAGGGGATTGCCCAGTTCCTTTTGCTCTGTCTGGTCAGGACTGTGCAGCTGGGGACACCCCAGGGCAGGAGCGCTGAGTATCCAGCGCTCCGCCAGCAGACAGAAAAGCACAGCTATTTCTGAAAACCTGAGAATTTCTGAGTAAGCTTTTTCCAAAGTCCTGAACTGACTTCGTGTCTGCAGCCTGGAGATGCCTTGAGGAGCTGAGCAGCTGAAGACACGCTGACCACTTCTCCAAGTCAGTCTGTCTGACGCGCACAAGCCTGAGCTACCCAAAAGATTCTGAGAATCCTTGTCCATCTCTGCATGATAACCCCTTGCTGGGTAGCTCCCAAGTACACAAGAAATTTGCAGGTCTCTTGCCAAGTTTCAGGGAAGAGGGAGTTGGTGTTTGCTTTTATCTGAGTTTGCAAACTCCCTGGGCAGAGTTTCCAAAGCAGAGAAGCGCTGCCTGCTCGCTCACAGCATCTCATTTTTCATTCTGCTCCTGAAGACAGCCCCTGACAAATGACAGCTCTGCTAGCGTTAAGCATCCCTAATGAAACATTCCAGGGGCATGATGCTGGCTTCTGGATTCCTTTTTCTGCCCCCTCCCCCCATTTTTTCATTACATAAAGCTGACAACTGCAGATTGGTCCTCTGTTGATTATACAGTCAGTTAAAGAAAAGAGTTCATGTCCATCCCAGCTTGTTTCACTTTGCTGCTTTTCCTCCGCCAGCCCGACCTTCAGCTGCAGTAATATGATACGCTTGGCAGAGTCTAAGAGAATCTTTGGCACATTGGAATGAGGTTTAATGTAAAGTCTACTTTTTTTTTTTTTAATTTTTTTAGAGCTTTTTGAAACGCTAGTGGTTCTGCACAGCTTTGGCAGTGACTGCAGGGCTGCTCACAAATGCTCTAAATGCAACTGTGAGCAGAAGGATTACCAATGCATTCAGTGAAAAGAATGTCTTAGCAGCTGCCACATCTCCCCCTAAAAAGTATTAAAGAACGACATGGATCAAGTAGAGCAACTTTCTGCAAGCAGAAGGAAGAGCTTCCTCTCAGTTGACAAGAAGAGCAGTGGCTGTAGAACCGTTGTGGGATTTTTGTGCGTGTTCCCTGTGGTGGCTTTGCTGGCTAGTGTGGGAGATCCAGCTGGAGCTGCGGTTCAGAAAAATCAGGTAGGGGAAGGGATCTGATTCTCAAGCACTTGAAAGGGGAGCGGGGACATCAAATACATGTGTGTGTGTATTCTGTTTAGAAGATTGATAAATTCAGGAAGCAATCTAAACAATATGTAAATAACTGTTAAGGTAATAAGATCTGTTTATGGCTCTTTGAGTCCCGTTTTGCAAAGGATCCTAAAAGGTAAGTACGCATCCGAGTAGAATCGGATTATCAGAGACGTGTGTGCGGCTTGCAGGGAGTGCACGAAAGATTTGGGGTGTCTTCGCTCCGAGCTGCGGCTGTTCTGCGTACCTCTGCTTTCCCAGCCGGGTGCGATGTGGCACGCGTGTGTTCTGGCTGCTGTGGCAGCGGAGCGCTCCTAGGAGCTCCAGAGGCAGGGCTGGTGGTGAGAGATCTAAACTGGGAGTTAACGCTGGACCTGCGGAAACTCTTAGCTGGTATTAACTCCCTTTGGAGATCCCTCCGTTAGCAAAGGACGCTGGGGGGGCAGACTGGTATTCAGGGGGAACTGTAGCAAGGCTCGGGGGCTCTCAGAATCTGGTCTTAATATTTGCTTTTTAACTTAATCTGAACTTTTTTTGAAAAAAAGTCTTCTCTAAGTGTTTGCATCCTCTCCTGCTGTTTGTGTTTAGGAAGGTCCTGGCATCACGTGTTAACTGGTGCTAAGTCAGAGAGTTATGCTGGTGTTTAGTTTCCAAGAGGGGAACTCCATGACTAGGAGCGAGAGGGGGGAATTAATTACATTTGTTACAACTCAGTGAAGTAAATTAACAGAGGTCTGACAGCGCAGGGGAAGTAGTGTAGAGCAGGGATGTTGACTGGTGCCTGCCTTTATATACGTTGGCATCTGTTGCAGTTGTTGAGAGTTGAAGCACTTGTCCTTCTAGTACCTCCGAAGCTCTTTGAGTGTTTGAGACCTTGACCCACAGTCAAATGGGTTTCCTCCTGGGAGCAGCTGACCCCTTCTCCAGTTGGGAGTATTCCCATAGTCTTGGTTCTTTGATGTCCAGACAGATTCTTTGATCCAAATTGTACTGTTGAAATTTTTAACTAGGCCATTCCATTTCTGTCAGAATCCTACATCTGAGCTGCAGCATGTGTGGTACCCTACCCTTCCCCAGTTCATTTCTTAATTAAAAGCATCCTGTCGCACCAGTGGTTAGTAGAACAAAGACTAGAGAGGAGCAGAGACTGAGCAGAGTATTTGAGCAAGAGAACTCAGCCCTCTGCACCTCTCTTGATCTAGTGACTGGGTCGGAAGCGGGTTTCAGCGATTGCTGTTGGGCCAGAGTCACCCTTTCTTGGGTTTGTGCTGTGAGGATACGCTCTGTAGGGACACGGATTCCCCCCTCGTTGCTTGGTCAGCACTTAAGGCCTTAGGGTTTTAAGCTCAATGGCTGTGGAGACGCCAGTAATTTTCCTCCCTCAGGGCTGCAGGAGCTTTCCTTGTAGAAGGAGAAGCCAGCAGGCTCTTTCAAACTACCTAATTTTCCTCTGCTGATATCCAGGGGGCTTTAAGAAGAGCTGCAGGATTTCGCTCCGTGCTGGTGTCATTTGCTAGCTGGGTGGCAGAGGAGGCAGACTGGGCAGTGTGCATTGCTCGGCCCATGCAGCCTGCAGCTCCCTGTGTTACCGTACACTGGAAGTGGCACCAGCTGGGCAGCGAGCTATAGAGGCTAGAAAGCAAATGCACTACGTGTTCTGCTGGCTTTGCTAAGGAGCAGGACACAGCTACTGAAGAGTGGTAATGCCTTACCTCACCCCATCATAAGTGATCAGGTCTCCTGAGTCAGAGCCCGTAGACTGAGAATTCGCAGTGCTGGCAGTTCTGGGCTGCTCCTGACTGACGCCAGAACGAACGTGCAGTCAGCCCCAATACTGGCAAGGGATCGTAGGGAAAACAACAAAGGCAGAAGGGATTTGCCTAACTCTACCCTACTCGAAAGAACTGCAAAAAAAGGGAAAATATTTTATTATCGTGTAATTATGAGCTAATCTTCTCCAGGCTTCTCTTACAGCTCCAACAGGTCATTGGTACACAGGCTAGCTGATCCTCCACCTTGTCTGTGCTGCTCAAAAGCTTGCAAAATTTTCCTTTCGTGTCAAGGGAAAATGGCATTCTCAGAGTGGAATCAGAGGTAGAAGCCATTGGAGATGAAGGGAGAGGGACGACAGGCAGTGTACTCGCATCACACGAGCCTTGGTGAAGAAGGGGCTAGGCCTTGAGCCGAGCGAACCAAAATGTATGGGTTCCTCAGCCAGATCCCTGAATGCAGCAAACGAAGTGACAAAGGTTAAAAAGGAAGAGGGATCCTGTGGGCTATTTCAAGAGCAAATTGGCACCTGAAGGCTCCCGGCAATGTGATCAAATGCCCTGCCAAAAGCTTGCAGCTTCGAAGGCAAGGTAGTAGTTAAGGTCTCTGTCTCACAGGTGATGTCCCATGGCCCTTGTGTTCCTTACGTTCCAAGACGCTGCTGATTTCAAATTGTGAGTCAGACCCACAGTTGAGCTGGAAGAAAGACTAACAGACTGTCCTTCTAGGAAAGAAATATACTGAGATCAGAACACGATAGAAGCTAGGACAGTTCACAGACACGAGCGAAAGAGACTGGTTTCCTGTTAGGATGGAGTCCCTCAGCCTGTTCCCAGTCGTGACTGGCTGTAGTCATGGAGAGATGCCAGTGACTGGGGCAGTGTCTGGCAGCTGCTGCTTCGAGCTTCTTGGCTTTTCTGGCTGTTGGCTGGCTGTGAGACCAGGGACAGGCTGTTTTGACTCTCGGAGCCTCAGCTCTTCCACGAGTAAAATGAAGACAGCTCTTGTTTTCTGTAGAATGTGCTGTGAGGCTGAACAAACTCGTACTGGTGCAGCTTTTGTAATATGGCCACTACAAATATCACTTAGTGAGTGTCTTGGTGCCTCTGGAGCAAAGATGACCCAGAGATATTCAGTGTCTTAGTCCTGAAGAGGGGAGGCAGAGCGGGTGGCCTTCCAGAGAGCTGTGTTGGGTTCCATTCCTTCACCTCCACTGCTCAGGACTGAAAGGCTTTTATAGTTTGAGTCAGACCTGTCACCAGATTTTATGATGGCTTTAAATGCACTCCAAGGTTTCCAGGGCTCCTGTTTACTTTGAAGGCGTTTCAGATCCCCAGCGCCGCGTTATGAAGAGCTCTCTGCACAAAGCGTTGCCTGTTTTACTCATTTGTCCAGCATTTCCTTTCTGCTGTGGTGAGGCTGGAGAGCAATAGCAAAGCGAAAAGGAAATGAGAACTTTCCAGGAAGAGCTGCAGCACTCGCTGCGGCCAGAAGCCTCCCGAGGCCTCATTTCTGCTCCGTCTGTGCCGCACTCGGAGAGGAGAGCGGGGCGGCTGCGGTGCCTTATTCCCGGATTACACAGCAGCTCGAGGGAGCCCGCAGCGCTCGTCCACCATGATCCCGTGCTGAGGAATCACAGAATCACAGAATGGTAGGGGCTGGAAGGGACCTCTGTGGGTCACCCAGTCCAACCCTCCTGCCGAAGCAGGGTCACCTACAGTAGGTTGTAGAGGACCTTGTCCAGGCGGGTCTTGAATATCTCCAGAGAAGGAGACTCCACAACCTCCCTGGGCAGCCTGGGCCAGGGCTCCGTCACCCTTAGAGGGAAGAAGTTCTTCCTCGTGTTCAGACGGAACTTCCTGTGCTGCTCCCTTCCCTTCCTGGAGCGTCTGATCCTAAACGTGCCTCGGGAGCTCCTCACAGCATTGCTCCTCTTTGCTCTATCTTGGTTTTGTTCACCGCGCCTTGCGAAGCCCTGATGGGCTGATGACTGCCCTTGTCTCCTGGGTGCCCGTGAGGGACTGCTGGTTGTGCTCCCCAGCCTCCACGTGCCCCGTACCTGGTAGTGTTTCTTTCACACTGCTCAGCCCTGCAGTCTCTCCCATCTCTTTCAACCTCCTGTTTTCTCTTTTAAGGAAGACGCCGCGTCACCTGGGCTTCGTGGAGCGAGTGCCTCTGCTTTGCACAGTCCGGCTTTCCCACCTCGGCCTCCAGCACGGAGAAAACGATACACGATCACGCCAGGGCACTTGAAATGGGACCACTTCAACTTGACCTACAAGTATGGACTCGCGTTAGCCCTAAGAGTTAGCGTTTTCTAAGTCACGCTCTGAGTTTATCCTGCCATGGTTGTGGGTACTAACCGTATTGCTAATCTGTTTGCTCGGGAATGGATAGGTGCGAAAGCCCCTCGAAAGTAGGCTGTGTTTCTACAAATGCTACACTGCTCTCCTCCGCTGTGGACCATGCGAAGCGTGATCAGCTGCCTGCTGAGGCTGCTTACTGTAAAACCAACTGTTCCGGGGCAGGTTGAGGCTTCCCAGAACTAGGGACTGCCCTCAGAAGGTAGTGACTGTAGCGCTAACTCTGCCATGCTGCTGTTTTTAAAAGAGTTTGCATGAGCCTGAATGATCACTGAGCGAAATTGCTGCTGAAAGGTTCTGTGATTTCAGGAGGACAGAGCTCTGTTGGTGCCGAGTGCTTTTAGGAGTCACTTTCTCCCTGTTGTCTTTGGAGAAGGGTGCCAACTCACAGATTACTAACAAATAAAAAGCCCTTGGCAACTGTAGGGTGAGTGAGTGTTAACCCTGATATTTTCAGGCATTTCTGCCAAGGAACGTGGCTGCCCAGATCACTGGTTCCCAGCTGGGTTTTCCACAGCTCGGAGCCAGCAGCGTTTCGGCAGCACTGTACAGCTGTAGAGTGGTCTGGTTTTGAGATGATGGAGCGATGTAAATGTGCGGTGCTGGTTCTACTTTCAGCAAGCAGGCTCATCAGAGCCAAAGGTGATGGAGTCCTATGGATTTTCACACTGGAGTGTTCCTTGCTGCTGTCTGGCTCCACTGCTGGCATGAGGCAATGTCAGTCCTGTCAGGTGTGCAGCCTTGGAACAGCTCTCTTCCTTACTTTGGCAGTGGCTGAGCAGCCCCTGAAACGGTCCAGTGCCATGGGCTGTGGTGGCAGCATCCTGAAAAGGTGCCTTTTCTCTCTGGGAAAATACTAATGGCATTGCTGAATGTTTTTCAGGAGAGCTAGCGTCAGTTCAGACAGCACGAGGTGCAGGGAACCCCTTTGGAAGCAGCTGGTGAGCACTGGCAGGTAGAATTGGACTGTCAGGGGAAGCCTCAGACTAGCAGGAGTCCTGGAGGTTTGACTGAAGAACGGCCGGTTGTTTGCTCCTGGCCGAGAGTCCGCGCTTTCCTGGAGACACAGGAGCCAAACCAGGTTTTTTCAACGTCTTGTGTGATAACAGAGGTCCTTTTAATGTGGCTGCTAACTCCAGCCACTCTGGACTTCAAAGTACAGAGCAAGCCCCAAACCTGACCTCTCAAGAGCTGCAGTCACGGAGCGTTAAACCACAGTGGCGTGAAAGGCAGGGCACGCTGGGTCTCTGAGAACGCGTGGAAGTGGCCTCCGGCAGCAGCAATGCGTGTTGCGGCTCTTTCTTGGCGTGGGGTTGAGGACATCACTGGGAGCTGTGAGGGTCTCTCTCACACTTCAGCTCTGGAAGGCTGACCAGGCTGTGACTGTAATGGGCGGGAGAGCTTTCTGTCACCAGCAAACGAGAAAGGAAAGCGCTGTGAGCTGTGTTGGCGGTGGGTTTGCCTGAGGTGGTGGAGGTAAGGAGTGAGAAGGGCAGAAGGACAGCAGCACTTGGGTCTGCCCAAGCCCTACGCTAACCCTTTCTTACCACAGAAGCAGCAGGGGGGGAGTATCTCCAGGTCACCAAATGCAGGCCAGGAGGACAACTGGGAAGGTGTGGCCGACGCTGCAGTTCCCTCCATCCTCTGGGTAGCGGTTCCACCGCCGGTTACGCAGCCGTCTCGCTGTAACTGGCGCTGGCCCTGTTTGCTGGTCGTGCGGTGGTGGTGGTTGTGTTGTTCCGTGGGTGATGCCGCGGTGCTGACCGGTACGCGTCGCCTTCCCGGCACACAGCAGGGGTCAGTTCTGCCCGTGAGACAAGGAACGAGCGGGTGGCACGAACCCGACTCCTTCACACTAAGCAGAGAACGTAGCTCCCTTTACGCTCATCCTGAACAGGCTGAGCCTCATCATAGTCTTAATTGTCCAGGTTTACACTCGTTAACAGCCTGGCTTGATACGAAACCTTCTGCTCCCTTTAGGATGTGCTGGGACGAAGGGAGAACATAAACAGCATAGCTAAAACACAGCCAGAGGGGATAGCAGAATATACACAGCTTTTCCCAATTGCTACACTTCAGGCAGTTTCCTGCATGCAGATCTTCTTTTGGGACCAGGTAAGTTCCCAGGAGCCGTCTGTGCGTGTCCATGGTACAACAGGGGCTCTGCCAGCCGGCACCAGTAGTGCTTGTACAGTTCAGCTGCATCTGTCCCTGTGGTCTGAGCAAAAACCTCTCTCAAGTGATGAGATTTTTGTAAAGGAAAACTTGTTTTGCTATCAAACCTTTGATATTCTTCAGAACTCGATTTCAAAAGTTGTGACTGAGAGAATTTTAATTCAGTGCACACGTGGTAGCCTGTGTGTTAGGCGTAGGACTTCCCTGCTGCTGAAGTGCAGTCGTCTCCTCTCTGAGCAGCCCTGCACAGCAGGCTGGGAGATGCTAGGGTAAAAGCAGTTTTCCAAGAAAACATTGTCTAAAACGAAGTGCTTGAGGAGGGACAAAAGCTGTAGTCCAGAACACGGGATTGTGAAGAATACCAGTAATGTGTTAGTCCCTGTGGGGGTTTATTAAATGTTCTTAATATCCAGTTGAAGCTACTCCTGTTTTGAACCTATTGGAGTGAATGAACGGACTTGCCGGTCTGATGCAGCCTTGAGAGCCTTCAGCTGATGTTTGAGAAGGGAAGAGGAACTTTCCTGACGTTGTTCTGTGTCCCTACAGAATCCTGTCCTTCCCAAGAAACCTCATAAACGCCAGGGACACGCGCAGGGGACTGGCGGCTGCGTTCCGAATGTGGAGTGAAGTTTCGCCGTTCAGCTTCAGAGAAGTGCCACGCCACGTAGCCAGTGACTTGAAGATAGGTGAGGCTGCCCGGGGTCCTGCGCGGAGAGGACACCGCTGTGTACGTCAGCTCCACGGGGGACTGGTGGGGTTGCAGGGTGCGAGCCAGGAGGCCAGCGGCAGAAGATGGTCCTGCTTAGCTGTGTGGACTCAGCAGGGCCTCTTGGACAAGGACTGGGGCATCGTTTGCCTGTAATCAGGTAGAAGAACTACTTTTAAGTGCTCTAAGGAGATGTTAACGTCCTAATTAACCTTTTCTGTAAATCTTGCAGTCAGGGAGCTTTAGGTATTTGACAAGAATTAACCCTGAAAATCCGCCGCTGGGACAGGATTATCTCGATTCTGCAGATGGGGAAACTGAATACTGAGAGGTGAAGTGACATCTCCAGGGTCACGCAGAGCCAGAGAGCGGGTGGTGGGTCCCACTGGTTTATGGTTTTAGTCTCCCTTTTGTCGATCCTGTTGAAGCACCATCTTTTCTCTGTGCTCTCCCCCTGCCCGTCCTTCTGCCCCCGTATCGCTGTGCAGTAGTTGCTCCCTGCGTTTCTCAGGCTTAGGAGAACACCAGCGCTGAGGCGTTCTCTGCTCGGTCTCAGCCCCAGATGTAAACCCTTCCTGGGATTTATGGGCTGTGTGAAATAGTTCTTTCCTGTGCAGATGGCGGCAATACTGAGATAACCAGCAGATTTACCGTTGTTTTGCAACACGCTCCTCACTGTGGAGTTGCAGGACGCTACTCGGAAGCACATGGTGTGCCTTCCCAGGGGCCTGTCCTGCTGCCGCCACGGAGCTCCGGTGGCCCGGGTCCAGTGGGCGCAGGGTACAAGGCGATGCTGTCAGGATGCTAGCGACAGGACGGCAGGCAGTTACGACTCGAAGGCTGTCTGTTCATTTACGTTTAAAATGGAACAAGTAAATCCTGGGGTTATCATCTCACTGTCCAATTCCCCCCCCCCAAAATAAAAATTCCATGTGATGTTGCAAAAAGAGCCAGCATTCCTTTCTGCAGCGTAGGCTCATTCGTGTCCGCTGGAAACACTCGGAATCCAGGGTCATCGCAGGGCTGAGTATAGTTTGCATCACGTAGCCTTCGCTCCTGACAACGGCCTTGCTTTTATTTTTCCTTTTGTGGCTCTGTAGGGTTGGAAAACACGTGGGATGCTGCAAGAGATTTCTCAGTAAACCACAGGTTTACAGATGCCTGTGTCCTGGCCGGACTTACCCTGCCAGACGCACTGAACCTGCTGCTTCCTTCGCAGGCTTCTACTCTGTCAATCACACGGACTGTCTGGAGTCGCTCATCCACCACTGCTTCGACGGCACCACAGGGGAGCTTGCCCACGCCTTCTTCCCACCCAATGGGGAAATCCATTTTGATGACGGTTAGTGCCCCTGGGATTTAGATTTTAGTCCTTGTTCTGGGTTTGCTGACCAAGGGACCGGGGCGATGAGGACGATTTTCTGCAGCTGTGGAAGCTGCTGGTCACGCTCTCCTGCGGCTGGGCTGCTGTGAGGGGCCCTGTCTGGTGGCAGCGCCGCTTCTTTCTGAACAGCTCAGTGGACTCACTCAGTAGTTCAGCCACATGCTCGATAGTTACGCCTGGCCTCTGCCCACGCCGGCGCATCTCTGAGAAGGGCCAGGTTATATTGCTTTGACTTGCTGGCATGGCTGTTTACATTTTAGCTTTCTGGGGTCTGTAGGCATTTTGGGGTTTGTCAGCACCCAAAAATGTCTGTGTTACTTAGAGCTTGGTGCTTTTTTCTTCCTGATTTTTTTTTTTTAAGCAATATAAAAACTAACTTTAAATTAAAAGCAGATGGTCCCTGACTAACTAGCAAATTCAGTTCATGCTATATGATCAACTCAGTACCTTTGTTGAAAGGAAGATATGCTGCTTTTCACCAAATAAAAAGGAGATTTTAGGTGACATAGAGGGACTTCTGTGCTTGTTTTCCAAAGCACAGCAACAGAGAAGATGTAGGGACAAAGCCCTAAGAGAGCTGATTTTTAAGAGAAGAACTGGTCAGATTACATTTTGTAAAACACTCAGCTTTGAAAAGGTGCTCTTCTCCCTCAGACTTCTGAAGTCTGCTGACGTTTGTCAGGGATAACAAAAATCAGAGAGTTTGTCTGGTAGCAGACCTGTGCCGCGAGGTTGCAGAGTTCTCGGGGAGCAATGTGTTTCCTGGCCTGTGTTTTTCTGCAAGCAGCTGTTGAAACAAGCAGAGACACTTGGAAAACTTGATTCTTAGTGAAGTCTTACTGAGATTGTGGAATAAATCAGGGTCCAAAGTGCCGGTTCTGCTGCTGACTTTCTGTCCCAGCAGTGTAACTCCATTTGTTTATATGGAGACGGTCATGCAGTTGATGTGCACAAATTCAGTCATTTTTGTGAAATGGCAATAACACTCCTGACTTCAGAGGGCCCGCGTGAGGCTGAGACAATTAATACTTGTTCACGACTGCTTCGCCTGCCAGAGCTGAATTAGCCCTCTCCATTGGCATAAAGAAGGATGGGAACAAAGCAGAACAACATCATTGTTCTTCCAAGTCGTGTCAGAGAGATTTAGGAGCAGTCTTTTAAGAAGAGCTCACAAAAGCCACACACTAGGGCTCCCTCGTTAACGTACCCATAAATGAAGCACAGGCGCAGGCTCCCCCTTTCAGGTGCTCTCTTGCCCTAAGCAGCTGGATTTAAGGCAGGAGTTGTGTGAGATTCTGGTGGCCTGTAATTGTGCGAGGTGTCAGGGTGGGGGTCGGTAGTAACGCCTCTTGGGGGTCATCCTTCAGTGAAAAGCCAGCTCTGCTGGAAGCAGGCTTCAAGCAGCTACCCAGAAACCCCAGTTTGCCCCGCAGGCGCTGGGGGATGCGGGCAGCAGCGGGAGGCCGGAACGTTCCGGCAAAGCATGCTCATTCCCAACCAGCCGTCTCCAGCCTGTGGGAACAGAGTTAGTGGGAAGCTGACAAGAGTGAGGACTGCACAGGGCGCTTCCCTCCGCGTCAGCCAGCGCCTTTCAGAGCAGCCTTCCTGTGGGCTCTGGGTCCTGCTCTCTGAAATGAGAAGCGTGTGGAAATGATTGGCCTGTCTGCTTGCACCCAGGCAGCTACAGAGAAGATAAAACCGGGGCAACCTTCGCTAAGACCGTACCCTCCTAGTGCTAAAGTATTTCCTCTGGTTTTACACCAGGATTAGCAATCACACTTCACCACACAACGGCTGCCGTTTTTCCGTTTTCTCTTGCAGGCGTTTGGCTTACAGATCTGGTACACGTGGCAGCTCACGAAATCGGCCATGCCTTAGGACTCATGCACTCCCTGAACCCCAACGCCCTCATGCACATCAACGCCACTCTGACTGGGAAGAAGACCATCTCGCAAGATGAAGTCTGGGGGATCCACAGACTTTACGGTACGGGCAGCAGGGGTGCGCTCGGGGCAGCTCTTGGTAAAGGTTTGCCCCTGGACCCTGTGGCGTGAGTCCCTCACCCTTTGGCAGGACCAGGCTCTAAGCCCGCGAGCAGTAGGCAGGAGGGCTCTTACTCCTTTTGTTTTTTTTTGCAAAGCAGAGGTAAAAGGAGGTGTAGCGTTGTCTGTGTCCAGCACTACCAGCTCCAGGTGTCCTGGACAGGAGGCTGGTGGCCTCGCAGAGGTCACGCTCCCACCTCCCCAGCCAGCAGGTCTGAGAAAGGCTTCCGGCGGGGGCCGGGCCCCGCGCGGTCAAAAAGCCCTGACTGGATCTGTACGTTTGCAAAGCTCAGGTGCACAGAGGGAAGGGAAAAGCTCACGGGCAGAGGACGGGGGAAGGCAAATGGCTGGACTCGGGTGTATCAACACGAGGTGACAAAACTCTCCACAAGCCAAAGGGGCTGCGGCGAGATTCTCTCGAGCTCCGCTGCGTTTGCCTGCTGCTCTTCAAGCATTACCTAGCGCAGGACTTGGAAACAGCAGCTCTCCTGAATCTGGATCCCTTCCTGTCCCTGTGCTACCCCTTACGCCGACCAGCCTGATGGTCAGTTTGCTGCTCGGGCGGAAGAGCCTGCCCCCTCCTCTGATGCCTTGTGTCTGCTTCTGTTTCAGGATGTAAAGACAGATTATTTATGTGCCCCTCGTGGGCACAGAAAGGTTTCTGCGAGAAACGCAGGAAGCTGATGAAGAAGCACTGTCCATCTACCTGTGACTTCTGCTACGGTATCTTGCCTTGTCCTCTGGGATGGGTGGTGGGGTTTGCACAGAGGGAGGGGGTGAAAGTTAAGCGGTGTTTGCTGCAGGGACAGGCAGGAGCTTAATTCCACGCCGAAGATCAGTGGACGCGACTAGACCCATGGCCTCATGCATCTGAGCCAAGATCAAGGCTTGGAAACAGGAAGCAGGATTTATGTTTAAACATTTGTGGCCTAGAACATTTACCTGTCCCCTTCTTCTCTGGCTGAACTGACCCTACGACAGGGGCTTTCTGAGCACACAACTGCTCCGTGCGCCTCGGGCTGCTTCCCTTTTGGACCCAACAGGGGAAGCGAGATGCTGATGTGGTCAATTCGGAGGTCAGAGCTGCAGTGCAGTTCCTGATGCAGTGGTGGGACACAAACAAGACAAATGAGGGCTCGAGCACAGCTGGGCTCGAGCTGCTCTGCAGAAAAGCAGATGAAGTATGTTGGTCGCCTTCCCCCAGGCTCTCAGCTTTACGAATCCAGCTAAGGGACTAATGCAGGATCAGGTCACGTTACTGCAGCTGTGGAACTGAGCTTCAGAGAAAGACCTCCCGCCCTGTAGATGTACTGTATAGCCAGTGCCTCTCTCTCCAGCACAGAGGTATTTTTTTAGACGAGATTAATGCAAAGCAGCAGTCAGATAATTACAAACCTGTATACTCTAAGGGCCTGTTCATATACTGAATGTATACTCTTCCATATGTATGAAATGGGCAAGTTGATTTTTTTATCCATCTCTATCAGTTTACGTGCCCCCAGTGTGCTGTCTTTGCATACGAATAATGCTACATCTCCATCCGAGAACTGCTCAGTAGGAGGCGTTTTTAAATTAATACTTCTGAGGTTCCTTGGGTGATAACGTAATGCCATGAGAGTGTTTTGGAATGGCTAAAGCTTGATAATGAGATATGCTAACTTGTGCCTTTTCTTTCCCTCACCTCTGGTGGGTAGAATTCCCGTTTCCAACCGTCCCCCCTACGCTGCCCCCGCCACGGACAAAAACCAAGACGGTTTCTGAGGGCAGGAACGTCACCTTCCGCTGCGGACAGAAGATAATTCATAAAAAAGGCAAAGTTTAGTAAGTACTCTATCATTTATTCTAGTCCTTTAGGAGACTTTGCAGCTTACATGCAAACAGGGTGAGGAAGTAAAACCAATGAGCGGGCATAAGAAGGCAGTTTACCTGCCGGAGCACGTCCCTGTCTCCGGTGGCACCCACAGCGGAAGGAGGGGTGGCCGGCTAACGGCGAGAGGCAGCGGGCAGATGCTGTTCGTGGCATCGCAAGCAGAGCTATCGGGAACGAGCAAGCAGAGTTGAAAAAGGATAAAATCCGATTCATGTGTATAATATTCACATTCCTACCCCCAAGTCAAATTCCCTGGCCCATAGTCTGCAAAAAAGCAGTCGCACACTTACCCTTTCAGTCAGTAGTGTGTTAGCTCTTACTAAGGCACAGGCGTGTTATTTCTGGATGTATCTAGAACTGAGCGAGAGAGGCCCACGTCCGTGGGTTGGTTTAGACTGAGGACCCAAACTCCCATCGGCTTTCAGTAAGGTTCAAGCTCCTGAATTACTCGGGATAGCACCCTGGTACAACTCCCATCAGCTACCCGTGTAGTAAAACTTTACCTGGCTTTGTTAAAGCCCCGTCTGTGCTGCACACTTACTCAGGCAAAGCTTACCAGGAGAAATACTTACTAGTATGTATTGCATTGTACTGGACAATTTGCAGTTTAATTTCTATTATTTTTCTTATGACAGCTGGTATAAAGATAAGGAGCTTCTGGAATACTCATATCCAGGTTACTTATCCTTAAATGAAGATCACATGAGCATCATTGCAAATGCAATTAATGAAGGAACTTACACTTGTATAGTCAAGAAAAAAGAAAGAATCTTGACTACCTATTCCTGGAGAATCAGACTGAAGCACTAACGAGGGCCCTGGAATGAGCACTTCAGTGACTGCTAATTCTGTTTCAAATACAGAATCTTTCTTTGGCATTCATATTTAATCTCCAGTAGTGCAACTGAACTTCTGCATCAGCTGCTTCTTACCTTGGGCAAAAGAGACGCCGAGACTTGATTACTGGAACATAGACTCTTCCAAATTAGTTTTAATGATAAAGAATATCTCACGTATGTGCTGTACAGAGAATTAAAGAAATCTTTTTTAAAAAAAGTGTCAGATTTTGCAGTTAAAGTATGCGGATCACTGCGGACTGCGGACAAACAAGACGGTAACTCTTCACCAGACAGCCGGATGAACAGCTCGACGGCTCAGCCGTGTCGCGGCGGAGGCAGAGGTACTGTGGAAGGAAAATGACCGGTTACGCTCTGTAAGTGTTTTGCTGTCATTTTTTTAGATCCTGGTGCATTTAAAGACCTAATATTCCTTTTTTTTTTTTTTCTTCTCTATTTGTCAGAAGGAGGACGTAGGGTCACAACAAACCCTTTCTAATTACTCCATTCCGCATTTCAACACGTTCAGTTCAAGTATCCACAGAACATTTTCCCCCCACAGCCGCTTTCCTGTGGTTTGCGCGTATTGGTCGTGTAATCTTATCCCGACAGACTTATTTACCTCCAGCAGCAGCCAGCAGCTCCTCGTGACTTGTCCTGGTGCTGTCTGATCAATAAACCTGTCGACTCCTCCAGCAGAGATGAAGTAATTGCCATCCCTGTGCTCCCCCGGTCACCCCAGCGCTGAGGCCTCGTGCACTCAGACGTCAGCAGCCGTGGAGGATGCGTTTGCACAGGCACGAGTCCCTGACAGTCGTGAAATTTAGCAAGATCCTCATCCAGTATGAAAGCAGCCTACATGGTGCTCTGCTTAGGTTTATCCTTTTTTCGTTGTGCTCTCAACCTCTTGTACCAAGTTTCTTCTTACTTCAAAGCACCAGCGCAGCTGCGAAGCGCCTGGCGCTCTGCAGCGCAGGTTCGCAGTCTGGGACGGCCTCTGCGCTGGAGCAGGAAGGCTCCGTCCGGAGAATCCTCCGCTGTTCTGGGACAGTTTTACCGTCACAGTTAGCTGAGAGCACAGCGCAGTGTAAAACTTGCAAACGCACCTTTGCATGGACAGTTAAGCTCAGGACCACAAAAGACAAGCGCTCTAGTCACAAACAGATACGTGAGACAAAATAAACGCTGAGATGCAGGAACCGAACGATGCTGCACTACTCGGGGAGAGCTGAGATTTCCCTTCTGCCAAAAAAGCCAAACCCAGGAGTTACACATCTTGCTCCTATCCGCATTACATTTCCATTGCAATCCAGCATTAGGTTTTCTTTGTTCTACTAAAACGATCCCAACTTAGATGAATAATCCTTTTTGTCAGGAACATGGACCTTCCCGTGATGCCCGCAGTGGCTGCAGCAACGCCAAGGGAGCTAGGAAGGAAATAATTCCACGGAGCGCAGGAGGCACAGCACAGCCCGAAATCAGAGAGCGCGCAGTCACGGTCTCGTCCTTCAGAGCTTAGCCCAGGCCGTGGCACCACGGCTGTCCCGGCCGGTGCTCAGGGGGACGCGGCAAAGCCCCGCTTTCGGTGTGGGACTGAGCTCCGCCGATGAGGAATCTTGCTGAAATCACGCCTGCCTCAGGTAACAGAACGGTTTCTCCTTCAGTACCAGGTGATCAGTCGGGCCTCAAGAGAAAATAGTTCTGCATTCCTCCACAGGAAAAAAACAAACCACCCAAACTACTGTTTGCACAATTTACCACAATTGTAGTACATCCAAATTCCAGTCCCAAGGCCTTTACCCAGAAAAACTCTTAAAATGCACTGAAATTGATGGAATGTTTATAAATTAAGTTAATCCTTTTACTGGACTGGTGCCCAGTTCTGCCTGTATTTTCCAGACATTCCTGGTAGCAGAAAAGCCTAACAGCATTATAGAAATCAGAGGCTCCGAAGGCTGCGATATTCCAGCATGATTCCTCTTTCATCGTATCCTACGAGAAAAGACTGGAATATGGCACTATACAATCAGTGAAGCTAAGCTCTTCCTTTTTACGGAAAAAGGGCATATTTAAAAGAACTTTCTATAGAAAATAAAGTTTCATGTCTCCATGTGAAGTCTTTCTCATTTACAAAACAACAGAGTACTTCTTCTGCACCGGTGCCACCGTTAATACCCGCGCACACACAGCGAACAGTGCTCAGCGCCCCTGGAAATATTGTCGGTGAGTAGCCAGCCCAGCACAGCGCAGCCCTCCCCAGGGCACGCGACAGGAACGAAACCTCACACCTGTTACGGTATTTTGCCCTAACGCTACTCAGACACATACAATGTACTTTGAATAAAACAAGCTGTTGTTTGCCTGGGCTGACAATCTGCTGCAATGGTGTCCGCACAGCTCTGGGGGCGGGGGGGGAAAACAACTTTCCCCTCTAGAAGATTCATTGCCACCAACATCCAAAGTTTCTGCAGGTGAAGAAATGAAATCCTTCACGCTGTTAAACAATTAAAAATGTATTTTAATTCTACAAATTTACAAGGAAAAAAAACCAGAACAAACCCAACAAAACTAAAAATTAAACAAACTGTTCCAGGTTTGTACTTCAAGTTTTCCTTTATCAGATTTTGTAATGCTCCTTGGCTTGTCGGGGTAATTCCAGGCCTCTCGAGGACTGCAGCAGTTACACCCCACCCAGCAAGAGCCTTTGAATCTGCCGTGACATTTGACTTTCTCCCTCTGACAAACATCCAGTCTCCCCGAGGTGAAGAACAGAACTGGGGCAGTCGATGCTCCACTCACATGAGCAGTTCTCTTTTTTGTGTGGGTTTTGTTCCCCTTCGATGCTGAGTTTAAAACTTGAGGCTGAAACCGGGTCCTGCAGCAGATGCTCCTTGGTTGGTGGTGGTCAGATGAAAACCCGTGTCTTTCAGATCATCGTCGCCCTGTGAAGACCAAGCACGAGCCATTGATCGGTTGGCGCCTGTGCAGATGTATTTACCAACACCAAAATCCAAACAGCACCACCAAAAAAAAATATATCAAGTTTATTTAGGAGATGAGAAACAAATGTTTGATTTACTGGCAGCGTAGCCACGGTCAATGCAGAGTGTGATACACGACCTTTAAACACTGCTATTTCCAAAGTTACCTTTTCTAAAGGTGTCTTTTATTCTAAACGTTATCTTTTTTTCTTGGGTGCATGCCTGGTTTATGTACCTGCTTTTGACTGCACATGTGAAACAGGAAAAAAAATCTGTGACCACACTGTATAAATAAATGTAAACTGTGCTCATGCAGCAGCTGACGACACACTCCGCATACCCTCCACGGCAGTTTTCATACCCTGAGCAATTAAGGCGAACCAAAGTTTTAGGCTACTTCCTCTGCTAAAGTGGGCACAAGAACCGCACAGTGCGGTGGCATCTCTGCCGAGACGCAGCGAGGGCACTAAGATGCCGACAGAGCCGAGGCTGCAGCGTGCTGTGCTCGCACGGGCAGCGTTTCCAGCCGGCCGCTTTTTCAGATCGGGCAGCGCCAGCCCCACAGACAGAAGGAACACCGGCCTCGCCTTGTCTGAATTCTTCTCCAAATACTGGAAAAAGGAGACTGTTTCTGTCCACAAGACGCGCATAACTTACCAGGCTTTGGATTTTCTTTCCAAAATAAATTAAATTTGCAGCTTTGAAAGTGTAAAACAGTTTACGCTTTCAAAAGACAAATCGTTCTGCACTGCAATCAAACCAGGCATCGTTTCTTTCTCAGATTTTGTACTGAAATTGCAATTCTGTGAGTACAGCAGTAATCGGACCTGCCCTTTGCAAAGGAACAGAGGCTGGGGAAGCTGGACCCGCAGTGGCTTTCTCGTGCACGTACAGGTGAGTCTCGGGACCCCCCCGGCCCCCAAGGGCCAACAGAGCGCAGCCCCCATCCAGGGTTGGGACGTGTCCGAGGACCCCAGAAGCCAGGGTGGCTGCCTCGGCCGCTGTGCTTACCAGCTGACTGTAGCCCAGGCCCCCCTCGGGCGGGCGCGGGCTGGTGCCACGTTTCACCCTCTGCTGCTCACTTCTGGCTGGCCAGGTGGGGAACATGGAGGGGTCAATGGGAAGGGGAGTCTCTCGGAAATACTCGTGCTTCAAACCGTCTTCGGCAGTAATTCTCCTGGCTGGGTAGTACGTCAAAAAGCTGGAAGAATTCAAAAAGACAGTGAACTAGGGAAGAAGAGAGACAGAGGGACAGAAAGAAGACAAGTTTTAGCCCCCAAATTATAAATTCTTCAGAAACGCAATTTAGAATTTTCTGATTTTTAATAAAGAAAATGCTGACATAAGGGTGGTTTTAGAAGCCTGCTTCCTAGACAAACCTATAATTAATGGAACTGCTGCTGGAGATATGTAGCAAATGAAGCTTTTGCAGGGATCTGTTCACAGAGCTATAAGCTGTCAGCGGCCTCAGAACCTATGTGCAGTCACATACAGCTCAGGAGGGGCCCAGGGTGGTTCAGTGAGGACACATTACAATGCTGCTTTGCTTTTTAGAGAAGACAACTGAGATGGTATTGATACACGACAAAATATTGTAATATAGTGTAGCTGAACTGCACAGCTTGTGGTTGCCAATACAGAAACACGTTCATCCTACTAACCAGTATTTGGCCCTGACTATGTAAATGCTGACACAGCCCAAATCTGTACTTGTAATGAGTTCCACTGACTTAGGTACACTGACTTGTGTTTCTGTGTGTTCCAGACTCATAGTGTGAAGTCTATAGTGTTCTCCTTATTACACAGAATAATGAAGACGTAGCCCTGTCATACCCAACTCAATTGTGACATCAATTAAGAAGTAGATGACACTGCTGTGATACCCATCTCTGTAAGACAAGTTGTGCTTGGACCTTCTGACAGGTTCTCTACCTTCCAATAAACTACTGACAATCATTCAAAAACCTGGAGCAGCATAATTCTTAAAAACTGGAGAGACTGAAAATGCTCCCCCTCTTTTTAAAAACTTTAATTTTGTTAAATAGAGACAAGATCTAAGTAAGATCTGAACTCAATCATTTCCACTACTTCACATCCTGAAATCTGAAGGGAATATTAGGGGAGGGAGGGGAACAAAACTCTCTAAAGCCATTGTCACCCTTTCTGAAGAAGAATGAATTGGAATGCAATCAGAAGGCACCAGCAGGGTTAGTTAAAAGGACTGCCAGAACATCAGCTGTGACAGAATTCATGAACTTTGAACATCTAGGGAAAAAACCAAGATTGCTATTTTCCTAATTCTTTAATATGGCCTCTAGAATGTACTGCCTTTTTTTTTTCTCTCCTTTTTTCCAACTGTAATTTGTTTTAACAAGACCCATCAGCAGACTGCACAATAGCTGACTCACCACATAACTAAACATGCCACGAATGAGCTAAAACTACTACTAAAACATTTTTCTGTTCTTCCAGGATACAGGTGTGCAAGAATAACCTTGGACTGGGGTTTACAGCAGGTGCGTGAGCGTGGTACGCTGAAGGAGGCTGTTGCAAGGAGTGGCACAGACAAACTTCAGACAAGGTGAAATGCACTGCAATGCCATGCGTCACTGCGAGCTGTTTTCCACCACTGTCGCAGCACATGAACACATTTTCCCAAGGATGCCCTGGAAGGCAGCACTTACTTGTTCATCAGATCAAAGCCCTGATCGGAGAGGAGCGCTCCAAATCTCTTGCGCAGGTTGTTGTAGGGGTATTCTGTGAACGTCATCTTCTTCACTGCTGGCAGCTCATTGTAACCAGGCCAGATTTTTTCACTTGGAGTACCCAGATCCTGTAAATTAAAATATCGCCTTAATAAAGTATTTTAGAGTGCAACCCTTCTGCTTATTGATTATGTGGCTGTAGGGGTTCGTAAGCATCCAGGGACAACAGACAAAACACAAATCATGCTCTTAGCCTCCTACACGCATGGTAAAACAAGAATGGGAGTAACGAGCCTTTCATTAAGGCTGAAGCTCTGTCAAAGAGCAACAAAAGAGCCTCTTTTAATTTCTTAGGACTGTAAGGTACCTGCCTCTAAAACCAGTCAGAATACAAAGTTGTTAAAAATGTTACCTTAAAAACTTTGTTAATCTGGTCAATTTCTGACTTCCCTGGAAACAGCGGTTTCTGCGTCAACAGCTCCCCGAATATACACCCTACCGACCACATGTCTATCGCCGTTGAATATTCCTGAAAAGAAAGAATGTATTATACCTTATAAAATCACTAAGATACTTTCACTGAGTTGTCTGGGAGTTTTTTGGTGGTGGTTTTGGTTTGGGGTTTTATTTGGCTGAAGAATTTCCACATCTAAACCAATACAAAGAATCAAGCATGCTGATAGTTTGTTCATAAATTATACAATAAGGTTACTCTGAAGAGTCATTCCTCTAGCAGCAAGAACAAGGAGAAATGTACCTTGGCTCCAAGCAGCAGCTCTGGAGCCCTGTACCACAGCGTCACAACCACTGGCGTGTAAGGCTTCAGTGGAGATCCGTATTCTCGGGCGAGTCCAAAATCTCCAACCTAAAGGAAAACCGGGGATCAGCAATGTTTCCAGCACTGACCAGGCCGCTCGCTCGCAGTGCCAAGGGGTGTGCTGCCACGCTGGCGGCTGCACGGCTCCCAGCCTTCAGACGGCCACACAGAACGCGCTTGCTGCTCATGGGCCTTCCCTGGCTTTTTCCACCAAAGGGGAAAAACATTTTTCCCTTCCTGAGGCCGAGTCCCTGCTATTGATCACCTCGACAGAAAGCTCACATGGCAGGGGGAAAACCAAAACTAAACAACAAAAATCAACGGTGACTTCAACTTTGCAAGCAAGAAAAAAATTCAAAGTCCATTTATCCTGCAAAAGGGAAAGGCTTAACACCAGTAACAGCTGTAAGGTGTAAATAATGGCAACAGACTATTGGCACCTCAAATTTACAAGTAAAAATTGAAATGTTACGTCCTGATCTTATTAGTACTGCTTTTCCCTTAGATTTTTGTAATAAGTCAGAGAAAGGTTAATTAGATTTTTGAAGTGCAACTTTTTTTTAGACTTTTTCTTTGCAAAGAGAATCTCCATCTCCACCAGTAACTGTACAGTTCAGCACTAATAGAGATTTATATTCTCTATAAAGCCTCACAGTCTCTCGAGTTGAACGAGCAACCCCAGTTCAAATGCTACGCTGCTGATGCAGAGCACGCTTGTCACATCCGAGCAGAAATCTGAACGGCTGTGGCAAGGCCGTCTCTTTATTGGATCAGTGAAGCTCACTCGTTCCCAGCTGTGATTTACAAGCCACACCTCGCACCTCTTACAGGCTACTGCAAACCATTCTGCCCAGCTCCTGGCACAGCTATCACGCAGTGTAGCTCTGCAACACAAGCTCTTTCGTAAGTGTGGTGTAGTCCGTGTAATTCTTACTTTTAAAATGCCAGAATGGCTGAGCAACAGGTTGGAAGTTTTCAGGTCTCGGTGAAGTATCCAGTTGTCGTGAAGATGCTTGACTCCACGCAGTAGCTGAATCATCAAGGTTTTCACTTCACCTGAAGCGACAGAAAGATGCCAAATACATTTAAGAGAAGAAATCTATCTTTAATTTTTTGTTGTTGTTGTTCAGAGAACAGGGAAGGGGGCACAGGGGAGAAACGGATGTCAAGTTAAAAGCACAGTACAGACTGCACCATAAAACAAGAGCAGTTAAACTCACAGAGCTGCCAGTAGAGCAAAATGAATTAGGGATAGCTGGAACGGATCCAAGTAATGCTCAGAAATTAATGCCTCTCAAAAACATAGGAAGTGGCTAAAATGACAACCCAGCGTTCTTGTCCAGTTCAGCACAAGGGCAGGGGAACCTGGACCTCCCCTTCACCCTAAGCCTGCAAACTGGGTTCATCAGCCAAACATCACGACGAGTGCCAGCCCTGCCAGGCTCCGACCCTGCCCTAACCTCTGTCAGCAGAACCAGACCGCATGGAGAAAAAGCAACGCAGTCTCTGTTCCAAAGAACACGCTCGGGAGATGCCAAGGCAATACGTGTCACCGCACAAAGCTAGTTCTCCGATGCCAGTGCAGCCCAAAGACACCCAGGTTTGTGTTGGCCAGTTTTGAGATAGGAGACCATGGCAAACTGTACCTGGCAGAAACGGCTGCTTCATGGTTTCCATCAGACTCTTCAGATCGTGTTCTACGTAGTTCATTACAATGTAGATTTTATCCATATTGCTACCTACAACAATTTCCTACAACACAGAAACAAATGATCAAAACAAGCACACAGTATTTAAAATGTATGCAAAAATGAATTTGAGAAATTTACTGGCGAGAGGATAAATGGAGTCCGCTGTCAGCAAAAGCCACAGACAGCAAAAGCCACAGAAAATGTGTTTTTCTATGAAAAAACCCAAACAGCTCGCTTTTGCAAAACATCAGATTAAGCAGAGATAAGCACTGTCTATTCAGTTTTATGGGTGGTATACAGCTGTTTATAGCAACAAGCTCTGCTAGGAACGCCAACAATTTTATAAAGCATTTTAAAAGCCAAGAGGCAATATTTCAAGAACAAAACAGCAGAAAGAGAAGATTGTGGCCTTACTCTGACAGTGACAATGTTTAGGTGCTGTGCTTTCAGAATAGTATTTATTTCTCTAAGAGAAGTAATGGGAAAGCCTTCCTTTTCCTTTTCCATTTTCAGTCGCTTCAGAGCCACAATTTCATCTATAAAGAAAACAGAATTATTAACTGCAGACTCCCCATCCCATAGTTAATAAAATACACGTTAAGAGGCCCCCAGTGCTCTGCCACTAATTCATTTGAATGAAAACAGTTACTCAAGACATTCTGTTGAGCCAAGAAGCAAAGTCAGGCTAACATTAGCAAAGTAAAAACAAAAAACCCCATCACCACCACCACATGATTGCCAAGTTTAAAGAATAAAATCCAAGACAACCACCCAAAAGGTACATCGTGGATTTTAATGCATTCCAATATAACTCACCTGGAAAGAAACTAAAGAAAAAGCGTATTTAACCCTAAACTCCTTACCACTGTTAGGACGGTAAGAGACAGACAGAAATGCCTCAAATGCAGTTTACCTCTGTTTAAAGACCTGACTTGAAAGCAAGGTGCTACTCGAAACATTACTGAAGTGAATTATTTAAATGCATCTGGTTTTTGCGTGATATTGTGGAGAATTCTGGTTATGTCAGTCTTGGAGCAGGCCTCCAGACAGAGAAGGGAAAGGAAAACAAGCTCGTGGTAGTTGTCCAGTAACGAAGTGAACTCGGAGAAACCACGATGCCAGCTGTATACCTCTGCTCCCCACAGGAGCCCAAAGAGTCATGTTCTTCTAAAATCAACAGAGGACCCGAGGCATCCAGAGTCTAAACCTGTCACCAAAATCACAGCTTGTCAGCTGGAACCTGAGAATAACGCTAATTTCTGTCTAGGTCTCCTCTGGAAGACAGTTCTTTTCACAGGCTCTCTTCACCATCTGCCAACTCTATCTAAAACTGCAGATATTTCATTTACTGTGCTACAGTTCCCCTTGAAAACCACCAGCTTGACAGAAAGTCCTGCCTGATGGCAACACTACAGGGAAACCGAGGTCAGAGCCAAAAGAACAGACTGTATCTTGCTGTGCATTTATCTTCTTCCATGAAAAAAGAAGTGCTGCACTAATATCACTATTTTTGTTAAACTATCAAAGCAAATATTTCTATCACTTGAGACATCGCCAGGGAAGAGGAACACACAAATGACTTGATGGCTGGTTCTTGCACCATTCACAGGGAACGCAGTAATTTCTTCAAGACGCTTGCCAAGCAAAGAGATGGGAGTTTTGAAAATATAAATCCACTTGTACACACAAGAAGCGTTCTTTTGAGAGGGAGCTAAATAAAGAAAAGAGTGAAATTTCTCTCTACAACAAAACACCGCGGCACTCACGCACTGCACACCAACCGCTGCTTTGTGAGCTCTCGGCCCGGCAGCTGTGCTCACGGTGACGCCTGGTGGAACGCTTACGGCAGATTTTGAAACCTTCCAGCCTGGTAACTGTCTACAGCAGATCTCAAGCCAAAAGCAGCCACCTTTCGAACCCGAAACTGAAACCCTGTTAACTGTTCTACACCATCATGGCCAACGCAGAGATTACTTCTGAACTCAAAACAGCTGCCAGTGAAGCCCTGCTGTCAAAGCCCACATCTGATCAAAAAGCAGAGATTATTCTTGATCAAGAAGCAAGTATTTTAGACAGATTTTGCTCATCAATTAAAAATGCAGAACCATAATTTGCATACAACTGCAGCCCTAAATACCAACGAAGATAGTAACTGGAGACCACTTCTACTAACCAGTCTTCTTGTCTTTCGCTCTGTACACTACACCGTACGTTCCTTCTTCAATCCTGTTCAAACACTGAAACTCCTCCACGCTCCGACATCCCTGAAAAAACAGACAGACGGACAACATTTACTCCTCCAGCATCTGGGGGAGGGCACTGCTTACATTTTTTTTAACAAGACAGAAGGTAAACTTCAGCAGCTTCACAGGAATAGCTAAAATTCACGACAGGAATTCAACAATATGGCTACTCCATATGAAAAAGGCATCTTTGGGGGTTGTTTTGACTTGGATCTCTAAAGGAATCCTGGACAAAGCCTGTGTTTTAGTACATTAACTGAATTACTTCATTAACTCTTCACTCATTCACTTCGGCACAGAATAAACAAATTTTTGCCACAGAATAAACTGAAATTGCTGCCACAGTGACAAAGGCAGCAACTCAGCACCTCAGACTGATACCTTTCACATAGTTCAATTAATAGAAATATGCTTTCTCTTTGTTTTTCTACACTTTGGTATTGGCTACAAAAAGAATAACCACCCTTCGGTGTCTATTCACATTAACGGAACTCTTCTCTCACAAGCATCTATTTTCAGACAGCAATACCAAGATACCAGAGTATCACATGTATTACTACATTCTTATCTGTATCTAAAAGAGTAATCTCATTTTTGCTCCGTGCACATTTTTTCCCTGTCAAAAAAAGACAGCAGTACTTCACACAGAAATGTGTATTTTGTGATGCTGAGTCAGCAAGGCGCATTCTGCCCGTAAACAACCTCATGCACAAATACACATTTATGATGTTAACAAAGCAGCTAGGGAAATCCATCTGCCTATGATGTCCTCAAGCATCCTTCCAGCGATCCTCTACCTGAAGCGCAGGAAGATACTTTGGAAGCTCTTGCTTCAGTTCGATGGGGGAGGAAGCCGGTGAGTCAGGAATATAGTCTCCTTCCGTCATTGCATTGGAATGAGGAGTGCCCTCCCCTACTTCCTCCTCTTCCACTTCGCTCCCTGCTGAATCTCGGTCAAACCTCGACTCTGTAACTTTAAAAGTCAGAATCAGTCGTGGAAAGAGGGATTCACCTGGAACAATTAAGCTCAGCTTTAGACAAATAGGGGTGGAGAAACACTGATCACTGTACACGAGATAGGTGTGCAGTCTGGGCAACTGAAGTTCCTGTAACAATAAAGATCAACGAGAAGCCCAGTTCCTCCTCTTTGCAGAGATGATGCTTTCAACAACGCGTTGACAGTCATGTACATACAATTTCCAGCATTAAATATCACATGTCAGAAAAAATATATATCTTTACACTAACAGAATGAGAGAGAAAACTGAGCCAGTATGTCTCATTCTGATTGCAAAGCTTTTTTGATGAGAGGATAGGACAAGAGACCCAAAATGAAAGAGCAGGAAACACTAGCTCATTAGACTAGGATCTGATTTCCTCTGAACATAGACCTTGGAACAGATTTCAGGGGTTTTCTGATTCTGACATGAGAATGGCTTCAAAATGCCACATATACGATGCTTTAGAATGACGGCAAAACTGCACCAGGAAATACATTTAAAATATTTTAAAATATTTGTAGAAACAGATTTATTTGGCTGCAAAAATTCAGCCAAACGTTTCTTTAAATATTCAGTAATTGCATTGTACCAACTGGGACGTGGTTTCCATTCTCCCGTTCCTCCTCTTCGCTCATCTCTTCTTCGCTCACCTCTTCTGCAAAACAGAATCAAGTTCAACTCAACAGAGGCAGACACTCTGCAGCCCCTCGTCAGGCAGCTCATGACCGAAACGCTTTCTGACTCGCCAGGCCTTCTTCACCGCTACTCAGTGACCTCGTACTTGTTTCACTTGGAAAGAAAATGCTTCCCCTAACACCAAAGAGCTGCAGCTTCCAACAGGGGATACGATTCCTAACAATTATCTGGGAATTCGGGAATGGGAGCAGGTGAATAAATTAAGTCAGGAAACTTATGAATATTTGCTTATTAACTGTAACTGATCTTAAAGAAACATACCCAGCCATCACAGCGTGCTTTTGTGCCTTTTCTTTACTGATTAATGACAAGAATGGCTCTAAGTAGAATTTTTTACTAAACCTTTTTTTTTTTTTATGTTCATTTCCTTGTACTGGAATGAAAAAAAAAAATCTGAGATTTGCAATTGAATATAATTCAAAAAGACAGAGACATCTGTATTTCACACACACACACCCCCCAAACAAGTGCAGAATTGTTCTCCACAGAATATTTGTTATGTTACGAAATTACTTGAACTGTTAGCATTACACCATTTAGGAAGACAAAAATGGCTTTCAGTTTTCTAATCCAGCCTCTTAGATGAATAATTGGCATTACCTCTATATTAAAGGATAGAATATGACTTGTACTTGTTTTTTTTTTTCTTTTTAGTTATCTTGACCTGTGAGGTCTCAGCCTATCCTAGACTAAGAGAAAAGAAAAATGTTCAAATAAAACAATACAGAATGAGAAACAAAATCATAACACACCATTCTAGGACCTGCTTTATGTTACTCACCAGCTGACTGCTCAGACACCTCCTCAGAATTGCTTCCCGTCTCCTCCTCCTCCTCCTCCTCTTCCTCTCCCTCTTCCTCAGAACCTTCACTGCTAGACTCTTCCTCCTCTTCTTCCGAGCCTGATCCAGATTCTGCTCAGGAATAATCAAACACATAACTAAGTAGGCACATGCTCTGCCAGCAGTGTTTCCTCGACATACAACTGTACAAGTAATTACATCTACTAAATTGCATTTAACCACCTGATGAAGACTCTGCCGAGCTGGTTTTTCTCTCACTGTCACTGATGTCTTGCAAGTCTGAAAGAGGATCTCTCTCTTCTGGTTTCTCTTCTTTTACTGTTGAGATCACAAAAATTAAAAACAGGGTTCTGACTGAATGTCACTTCTACTTCAGACTCTGCACACCCAGATAAGTGTTTTACTTTCTCTGGCTTTTAAATTGGTGCTGAACATTCTGTATTGGAAATACAGAACACTAAAAAAAAAAAATTCAGACTCTGCTCAAAAGACAAACAGCTTTTCTGAATTGCAGTGGTGCAGGATCAACAGCCAAAAATGTGGAATATTGACCTTTGCTTTTTAAACATGATATATGCCTAGGGCCCTCTAAGGGTAATTACACAATAATAATAAAAAAAAATAGCATGGTAACAAGTATCACCACAACACAGTCTCACTGACGTCTGCACATACAGCGCTTACTATCAGTGCTTACTATTCTAACGCAGTCCCTCTGGGCGACCACGAACTAGCACGTGCCAGTACCCGTCGATCAGTTAGACAGCAGCTCCAAAGGCCAGACTGCCTGCCTGCCTCCACCTGCAATTTCAGCTGATCACAGTCAGCAATCAGCTTACTCAAAATAGCTACACTTATTTTTACAGCTGCACACACTAACAAAGCAGACACAGAGCTTTTCTTCTTTAACCAAAGACACTTTTATGTCAGTTGTGCAAGTTCTCTACTCACAGTTAGGACCTTCTAGGTATGGGAAGGACCATTTTCTGGCTTAGAAAAAAAAAATCACCATCTAACCAGAATACTACCTTAAGCATTTATCTTCTACCAGGTGACACTATCAGTGACGCTGAAACTATATTGATGCCTGTAAGGTAAATTTTTAAGGTAGCTTAGCTCCTAACAACAAATCCAGCTGGAGCTAGTGCAAACCATCCCTTTTTAATCTGCAAGGAAATTAAATCACAACATTTTAAAAATTCAGTCAGCTGCTTCTTTCATCATTGATGTAACTCACTTGGAAACTTTCAAAATTCCTACTACTAAAAAGGAAAGCGTAATTCAGTTTGTCACTTGCACAATTACCTGCAAAACCAGCACTGCTTTAGAAACCAGTCCATGTGTACACACTGATGAACACTCCTGAAGTGGAGAACGCTTCCCACAGAGTACCAGGGATGTACGTTTAGTGCCAAGCATTGAACACTACCCCAGGACAGCTCCTCCTAGCCCCCAGGCACAGACATCACGAAGTGGCAAATGCTACCTGGTTTCCTGCTATCTCCTTGCTCAACCTTGTCTCTCTGCTGTCGTAATGGGCTGCGACTCCAGGGTCTCATTTTTACTTTGTCTCCATATTCTTCCCTCACTGTTCTATGGTGTGCAGAAACTAGTGAAAACAAAATCGGAAGAAATTGTTACATCTCCCTGCCCTAAGCAGAATGCTTCCGTCTGCCACAACCAGCTGCTTTGCAGGTTCTCCATTCTTCCTTACGAACTAAAGGGTAATGGGGAGGAGTGGAATTGGAACCTAATTGTACCTAGGAGAATAAGGGACTGATTTACCTCATGCACAATAAAATATGGGTGTGTACTACTTAGAGAAAGATACTGCCATACTTTGGAAACAGAAGTAAGGTGCCCTACCTACTACACAGTAAACGCCCTGAAACTCAGGCATTAATGCCAGAGAGAAGTGGACAGACAAGGAAGATACATAAAAGCAAAGCAGCTAAGGGTCAGAGAGAGCTGACAGAACATTCAGAGCAACAGAAGTAGCTAAAATGAAAGGCTCGACAGATTGAACAACACCAGTGTAAATACCAAGCACAAAATGGAGCTGTTCGGTGTGAGCCAGGCTAGAAACAGCAGCAATAAATATGGCTTTGTCTGCAACTCTTGCCCAATCTCTGTCATCTCATCACAGGAATGGGCTCTGATTTTTACCTCTGAAAGCTGGGACAAAGAAATCCTTCAACCCCAAATGATCTGAACTTTGACTGCAAGTGTCTGATCTGCTAGGCAAAGTCAGGTTCACGTGTACAAGTTAATTTCAATTGCTCAGTTATCCGATCTTCCCCACTCTACTCCCACTACAGCCTTTTTCATGGCTGGGTGAAACTCACACGATGTCTCTCCCCCCCTTTGTAATTCACTTCCCCAAATCCTTATTACACTTAATTTTGAGACTTCCACCTCCATCAAGTTGGGTTAGACGCAGCCAAAGAGTTCAAAAGTGACGGGGATCATGACAGATACACACACACAGAGACAAGGCCAATTACATCAATTTTGATTCTGAAGGAAGCCAGACTAACAGAGAGAGGCAAAGAAAGACATCCTGACTAACCAATCCGCCATGATATTTAAGAAATATGACATGGGTTTATTTTCCCATGTAGAACTTCATACTTTTTTAAATTCTGGCCTTGTCCTAAGCAAAAAATGCTTTCTGTACCTCCATTCCACCACTGTGTCAGCAGACAGTCAGCCCAAACAACATTTCTGCAGAGACAGTTACCTTCTCGTCTGGCTTCCCGTTCCTTACGTCTTTCCTCCGCCCGCCTTTCTCGTTCCTTTTGCTCCCTTTGTTCTTTTTGCTGCTCTCTGATTTTTCTCTCTCGTTCTCGCTCAAGTTGCTCCAGACGATCTCTGGAAAAGAATTTTTTTTTGTTACGTTACAGTTCACCACAAATTCAGCTTACAAAGTAAAGGAAAACTGTTTTCTATAAGAAACTACAGGGCCATTCAATTTCATTAGCAACATCAAAACCACATGCAGCTTTTCAGCTGATCCTTTCAAAACTCTATAAGAAACTACAGGGCCATTCAATTTTATTAGCAACATCAAAACCAGATGCAGCTTTTCAGCTGATCCTTTAAAAACAGTGTTTCAAAGACCACGCACTCTCAAACACATGAGCTTCAGTACCCTTATCAGCATTTAAATTGAAATTAAGCAAGTTCCGTTAAACTCCCTGATACTACGCCAAACTGGTTTGCGCTCTTTTTTTTTCACTATAGTAAAACACTGGCAATGAATTAACCTAGAAACATCTGTTGTAATGAAGTCACTAAGGCAATTAACATCAAGAACACACCGTCATTAGACACCACATTCACAGGAACACAGCACTGGCATCACACCGTACAAGTTTTTGCTCTGATTTTTTTTTGTCAATGAAACAATGCAAGGTTAGAGACAGGCTTAGAGGAGGAAGCTGCTCATCTCTCTGTCGGTTTGTCACAGGGGAGGGAGGGAGGGACAGATGTACCTCTCCCTCCTGGAATGCTCCCTTGCCATTTCTCTCCGTTTCTGTCTTTCCCATTCACGACGGGCTTTATCCTGCTCTTCTCTATGTCTCTTCCTACGCTCATGTTCCCGTTCTTTCTCTTTCACTCTGGCATGTTTCCCTAAATAAACAAAAATGAATTTTGGAGTGTTACTACGCCAAATATTTAGCGCTCCTATTTTTAAAAAGCAAAATTACAAAGGACAAAACTCATGGTAACCTATTTTCATGTTCTCTGTTCTTTTCTTAATGGAAAGAACCTGATCTGAAAGGATGTTGGAAAATTAAAAGATCATAAGATCGTGCACAAATGCTTGCAGTAAAAACAGAAAAAGGCTGTTAGTAACAGGACTAAACGTGAATGTTTCTAGAAAGGATATTTTCTCCTTTACAGTCAGGTACAAAGATCATAGCTGAGCCCACTCACTCACTGAAGCCAGAAATAAGCTTAACAGACTTCAAAGAGTAAAAGTAGACTCTGTGTCCCTGTCCCAAAGTGGTAACTGTCCTCCCAAACACATATATATCCCTGCCATTCCCATAAGGACATTGAACATAACCAAAGAAGTAATACAAGTTCAAACTTCCTCTTATCCATCTGACATATTTTCTTTAGTTTGTCGTTATTGTTGTTTACTTTCTACCCAGTGGCTGTCTGGCTGTGCCTTGGGAAGCTCCCAGAAATGCTATCCAAATGTGGTAATAACAACCTTCTGCGGAATGACTACGATGTCTACGCTTCTCTTTCCTCTTCTCATCTTTTCTATGATGGGTTTTTTCTTTCCGTGACATTTGCTGCGGTGGTTTTATAGCCAAGGAGTCATCTTCTTCTCCTCTAAAATACAAGACAAACTAATAAACTCAGAATGGTTACATGTACTGTCAAACAGACTCTGTGTTATTCCTCTTTTCTCTGTTTCAAAAAGAATGTACTTTTTTCTATTTTATTAATTTATATTAAAGTTCATTTCTGTAACACCCCTAAACCGAGGCATTAACAGTACCTTACAAAAAACTCTAATCACAGAGATGAGAAGTTAACCTATTATTACACGCGCACTTTTAATACACCAGCAAACTGAGGGTGAATTAGGCACTAAAGAGAACTCAGCAGGCCTGCTTCAACGGCATCTTGAGCGAACTATTTGATTACTAGGTAGCTGCCAACATTGGACCACAATACTCTGTCAAACCTTTATCAGTACTTAGTGATACCTTGGCATGTTCTATGAACCGGAGGCAAGATGGCACATCTGCTTGCTAACGTTAAACTTTTTGTCTGCAGATATTTTTACACCCCCTTCTCAGTAATTCTAAAGGTTCACTGCAGTAACTCTGAGGTAACTCTTACGCTCACCTGTCCTCCATAGAGTCTTCTCTCCTGTAAGGTGAATTTCTGATCGTTATTTCCATGCGATGGTCTCTCAACTCCCCCTCTTCAAGAGAATCCCGCTTCGAATCCCTGTCATCTGACTGTGATGGAAATGCAAGAAAGGGCAAAACCAAAAAGCAATTGATTTTTCTGTCACAAAATGAAAAAAACTCAACAGTACGCCACTCCTCCACTCCTAGCTCAAAGGCATCCTCAGGTGGTCACGCCAGTAAAGCTCACTAACTTACAAAGCAGAGATTTCACCCTAGCAAGCAGCCAACTGCAGTACGATTGCAATCGTAGCTGAACTTCTGTAAGTTCCACATAATTAGACAGAATTAAACAACCACTAAGGAGGACTGCATTAACTATTGTGCAGTTTTTCCAAAATAGTATTCTGTACATAGCTGTACAAAAACAAATAGTAACATAGAATTTATCAAAGAACAATCATTTAAACCCATTCTTCTGTAAAATCTTTGAAAGGTTTTTACCTGACCTGCAACTTCCAGTTAATCACACCAATTTCTTTACCTTTTCTAACCAACAACTACGAAATAAAGCAACGGAAGGCCAATGCTATCTTAGCAAAGCATTGTGTTTTTGTCAAACTTTGGAATCAGAGATCGCACAGGACATACGTGTGAGAGCGCAGGGGAATTCCACCAACAGGGCAAGCAGCCTTGTTCTCATCAGAACATGAGGATATTGTTACCCTGGTGACTAACACCTGGATATATTTTAATAAGGCAAACTAACACTCAAGAATCAAGTTGTAATTTCAGGATAGTTACTAACTCATGAAAAAGTATCTGAGTAGCAGCCAGCGTTGCAGATCAGGAACACCTGATGGTTACAGACTCATCCAGCCCTGGAGACTGCCAACAGGTGGAACACATTGAATCACCCCTCATCAGAACAAACACCTGGTACCTTTAACCAAGGACACCCGGACCGAAGGTCAACTAATTAGGATGTTTTACGTATGCTGCTAATTAAGATGTTTTACGTATGCTGCCAACGTGGCAGAACTGAGAATTCACGTCTCCTTGGCTGAGCCACCCTCGCTGTAACACTAAACATCACATCCCCTCAGCTGGAGACCCTGGCCCAGACCCCTACCCACCAAGCACGCCTCGCGAATTTTAGGAGCGCGATATCTTTAAACCGAGGCGAGCAGGGAACTAACCGACCCCCGTTGGGAGGATACGGCTAACGGGTGGCACCAGCATTCGGTACTGCACAAACACGCAACACGATTGTAAGCACATGTGCTCGATGTGCTGCAATCGCCCACCTCGCACCCTGCGCAGAACAGAACCACGGCTCCTCTCTACACATCGTTTGTGTGTTTTGGGAGTTATTTTCAATTTCAAGCAGCAATCTGGGCGCTGAAGCTCCGCGGGTGTCATTGGAAACGCTTGGATACTGAAGGGTAGCTTACATTTTTCATTTGTTTTATCTCTGCCTTCTCTTCTTGCTCCTTCCTTCGTTTTTTTTCCTGAAGAATTTCATCTAAAGTCTTCACTTTCCAAGAATCCTTTTCATCACCCATTTGAGTTAAAAAAAAAAAAAGCCCTGCAAAAGACCAGGCCGTTAACGAACCCCAGGCAAACCAGACAGCCCGTCACAGCTACGGCTACGTCCCTCGCCGCCCTCC